TGGGCATTTCTTAAGAGTGACAAGAACAGTGCGGCTCACTGTGCCACGTGGGCAGTCAGAGCACCTGGGAGGCTGTGTGCACGCTGGGGGGGTGGCGGCACCAGGTGGTGCCTGAGCACTCAGCACTCTCCTCTGCCTGCTCCTGTTACTACCCGCCTTGTAGAAAGCCGGGGTGCATGGTCCTGCTGAGGCTCCCTGTAGCATCCTGTCCGCATGCCCACCTTCTCATTGGATGCTGCTCTGCTGGCCCCGGGGTGGCTGTTCCTCTCATCCAGCCTGGTGTTTGGAGGGGAGAAGGGGCCAGTGTGAAGAAGAAAGGTGCCAACGCTGGAGTCCAGATGCATGGGCTCCTGACCTTTCTCTGCCAGCAACTTGCTGTGTGACCTCCGGACCTGTGTCCCCAGAGGAAGTCACTGGCATTTCTGATGGGGTATTTTTCCTGCATGGAATTGTTGTGTGTGATACAGGACATTTAGCCTACCTGGGCCTGTTGTGTCTCATCGCGTGATCATCAGAAAGTCTGTCCTGTTCCCCAGGATTGAGACAGCTCCTCCCGGAGAGTCCCCCTTTCTGTGATCATGCATCTGTTCGGTGATTTCCTCACCTCTGACACTCTGGTGTTCAAGGGAAATTGGGGATACTGATATTTCACCTTAGGCATCTTCTCCTCCCTACCATCCCGCCATGAGATCCCTCTCATCAACATCTTCCCTGATTCTAGGGCTTCCCCAGCAGCCATGCCCTCTCTCATTCAAAACTCACCCCTCTGAGTCTGAGGCCTCGTGGCTGACTCTCTGCTTGGTGGGATGATCACTCACCAATTTATGTACTGGTGAAGCTAATGGCTCATTCCACCCATAAAAACGCATGCTCACTTGCTTTTCCAGGCACAGGGGATGCCTGGAAAAATCTCCTTGTGCCTGTACTTGAACCTGCTTAGAAGCTGGAGCTGGGGAAGTGTATGGGTGAGTCTGTAGGTGGGAGAGCAGTGCTGGGTGGGATGGAAATGACAGCCCAGGTGGGTCCCCAGCCTGCCTGGACAAAACAATGCCAGCCTTCCCCTCCTAATCTTTTCCCCAAGCCGACACTGCTGCTAAATCTCCTTGTGCCTGTACTTGAACCTGCGCACAGAGCAGGCTTCCCGAGGGAACACACACAGACTCAAATCCCAACTCTGCTTCTTACTGTCTGTGTGACTTGGTATCCTTTACCCAACTGTGCAGAGCTGCCATTTCCTCATTATCAAAAATAAATTAGATACGCCTTTGCTTTTCCTGGTACAAAGTAGATGCTGAAGAAATGGCAGCCGTTGTTATTGCTGTCCCCATAAGCCTCACCACCGCCCTCTCCTCTCATTCAAAGGACACCAAAGCCTTTCTAACTGAATACAAGATACAGACTCCTTTGCTGGTGTGGAGGCCTCTGTGGGTTCCCTGTCCCATTCTAGTGTTTAGTCCCAGTGTACCTTGCATCAACCCAGTGGGTCCCCTCTGTTCTGAATAAACCCAGTCCACCACTCATCCCACTGTCAAGATGCAAAGTCAGTTCACCACCCTAGGCATTTCACCTAAATGGCATGATGGCCCCTTGTCACCTGGGGTAAGGCCGCACTGGCATCTGGGCCAGCTGAAGCTGAAGTCCTCTCCCACCTGCTGTGCTGATCCATGCCCAGCCCCACAGGGGCCTCTTGACTGACCAGTCGGTGTTCCTACAAAGTGCTTGGGAGCATGCACTAGCCTGTGTTTTGCTGTGGCATGACATGGCATGACTGTTGAACCGCCTGTGCAAGATGACACTTAGGTCACACCAGCAGGCCAAGTGCTGGGGAGGCTGCTGTCCTGGCTCCACTGACTGCTGATGCCAGAGGCTAACTAGGGTGCCGCCAGGCTCCTCTCAGGCCGGGTGCTCCTTGGCACTGCTGTGCTCTCCAGGAGGTCTTGCCTACCCTCTGCCCCCGTGTCTTCTGTGTCCTTCCTCAGAGCATCCCATGCGCAGCAGATCTTTCAGATCTTGGCTGAAATAGAAATGGTGTAGCAATTAGCAGGAGGATTTTTAAGGGTCCCGTGTACCCTGAGATTCTTGTACACAGATCCTCTTGAGGAACAAATCAGACCAGGTACAAATGCTGGTTGCTGAGATACGGTGGAAGAATCATCGTGACTTTGGCTCCTGGTTTTGTTATTTACTGAGGGTACTGGTTTCCTAGGGCTGGAGCACCTTACCACAAAACAGTGGTGAGGATTCCAAACTCAAGGTGCCAGCAGGCTACGCTTGCTCCAGGGTTCTAGGGAGGATCCTTCCCCGCCTCTTCCAGCTTATGGTCACCCTGGGCATTCCTTGGCTTGAGGCTTCTTCTCTCCAATCTCTGCCTCCATTTTTGTATGGCTTCTCTGTGTATCACTCATAAGGACTTGCCATTGAACTTAAGGCCCACTTGGGTTATCAGAGATGATCTCATTTTGGGATCTTTAATGACATCTGAGGAAATCCTTTTTTCCAAATAAGACCACCTTCACAGTCATTAGGATTAAGATGTCGATGTATCTTACTCAACTCTCTCTACTGAATGGAAATGTCACTTGGCCTCTCTGACCCTCAGTTTCTTCATTCATAATATGCAGATAGCATTCGTACTTCACCACACAGTTATGAAAACTAAAGTAAAAGAGTGTGTATGTAGCAAATATTCTATGAGTACCTTTTTCATCATGCAGGTTCTGATCCCATGGTCATCACCAATTCCTTGACCATGCACACTGCTGCCCACCTCTGTGACATCTCTGTTCCCTCCCTGACATTCTCTATGTTCCCCGGACTCCTAGCACAGTAGCTTCCATGTAGAATGTGCTTAAATACATAGCACATTTAAAAATGAATCCACAGCCCTAGGCCAGACTGGCTTTCACTGAGTCCTCAGGAACATGGAGGAAGCAGTAGTGAGAATCTAGTTCCTCCCCTGGCCACTAGGGAGGAACTTAGAAGTCACAAGATGGGGATGCTCGACGTGGCTCTGCCACCTCAGAGCTGTGTGACCTTAGTCTAGCATCTTAACTTCTTTGAGCCCCAGGTTCCTCTTCTGAAAGTGGAGCTGATGGTGTCTCTCTTGTGGGCCTGGCTCTGGCTCAGTGAAGCGCAGCTGGGATGCTGTGGGTGCGAAGTGCTCCCTGAGCACAGCCTCATCCTCATTCCGGCTTGGGCCAAGGGCTACATCCTCTGACTCCAAGTGCTTGCCCCTGCTCAGCTCCCCTTCTTTCTTCAGGTGGGCTTCTCTGCCTCCTCCTCCATTTCTGATCCATCACCCAGGTTAAGGTCCGAGGCCGCTCCTCTCCTGGCAAGAGCTTCCTCACTCAGCCCGTCGCCTTCAGAAAGCCAGGCCCTGAGCAGATTGTGCAGGCTGCAGACTCTTGACTGGGGACTTCACATCCAGGCACTAGGCCTGCCTCCCCGCTCGGGTCCCCCTGGCACCATCAGGACCAGCCTGATACCAGAGAAAGAAGGTCCATTGTGTGGCACGGGAGAGGCCTGGCAGGGGCCTCTGGACCCAGCACAATGAGGAGACAGGAGACCGAGTACTCGTGGGCAGCTAGATCTAGGTCAAGTCTGCGCGCTCTCTAGTCACACAGACCCTCTGAGCCTCGTTCTCCTCTCCTGAGAATGGAGACGACAGTCTTTGCAGGGCTGTGGGGAGGACCACCCTGACGCAGAGGGAAGGCCCCTGACATCCATGACGCATTCTGTGGGCTGGTGCAGGGCGGAGGCTTTTCTCATCTAATTGGTACAACTCTGTGCAGAATTAAGGTCAGAAAAGCAAGGTTCGGACCTGTGACACGACTAGCCAAGAGCTGACATCTGCAATCCGCTCTGCACTGGTCTAGCTCTTACCCCAGAGCTGGCCCTGCCACTCCCACGAGCTCGGATCCCGGCCCCTAGTGGGAAGGCACCTTGGCTCTTGGAGGAAAGGGGCTCCAGTTTGGCCTCAGTGTCACTTAGCCACGTGAGGACGTGGGCAGGCAGCCTGCTGGCTCGTGCCACCTTCCACTGGCAGAGTGACCAGTACCTGTGGTCAAAGATGGAGCGGCCTGGGTGACAGCACTCTCCAGAGCTGCCATTCCTGTCTTGAGTGAGCTCCAGGCAGTGCCTTCGCTGCTCCTCCCACCTCCTTTCCTGTCCCGCCTCCTTCTCACCTTCTGCTCCAGCACCAACCAGCTCAAGGGAGCCCCAGAACACTGAGCTTTTTCACCCTGACCCTGGCCTGAGCAGTTCTCTGGCAGAATGCCCTCTTCGCCAGATTCTGACCTGTCCCTTATGCTCTGTCCAGGGTCCCTCCCTGGCTCCCCTGGCCTCATGCTGAGTAGGGAGCCCCATCTTTGGCTCCCACAAAGCCCCCACAAGTCCACTTTTGTCTCTGCATCAACCAAGTGTGATGACACTGGGCCTTGATCCTTCTCTTTTCGTGGCCCAGGGGTGTTTTTAGTGGGGTCAGGGAGGGCCTGGGCCAGTGGTTCTTGGAGGGCGGGCAAGAGAGAGGCCATCTTGAAAAGGTTTTAACATCTCTGTCCAATTCCCTCTCACCCCGTGTCGGAGCTGGCTGGAGACAGGTGGGGTGTGGAGACAGAAGTTCAGAGGGGTGGTTATTTTTCAAAATACCTCTAGGCAATTCCTACTGGAGACTGGCCTCTCACCACCATCCTTGCCTTGGGAAGGCCACTGAGCTGCCCAGGGAGACAGAGGAACACCCCTTGTTCACAGGGGTTTGGGAAACTCAAGTTCGCACTCAAGCCTCGAGACAAGGAAGCCCACGGCGACATTGGCATTAGTGCTTGAACCTGACCCAGTGATGCGGAAGAGGGTGGGTGTTTGGGGAAGTGAGAGCTGGTGGAAAGAGGGCCTAGAGGTGACAGCAAGTGCAGTACCCCCGAGGTTCCTGTGCAGTTGTATAGAGACCCTCCTCAGGCTGATCATCTATCAGTGGTAAACTATTTCTTTTTTGTTTCAGGGTTTGACCGTGTCCTGAGCTGGTGAGAGACGCCTTCTGTGACTTTCAGTCAGATCAGCCACCAGATCCCAGCAAAAATGACCCTCGCAGGTAGGTCCCCACATGGCCCGGAAGCATGGGCTATTCCTCTGCACATAATGATTTATGGATGCACAGAGACGTGTCTACTTGAAGGGCCAAGTAGAATCTGACCCCAAAGTTAAGCAGAAAAGGAGACACATGTAATATGAAAAGAGGCCTTCAAGTTCTGAAAAGTAATGCAGGCCAACATCATCATCTGAACTCGGCTGTCAGCTAACCCACCACCACACTAGTGGGAAACTAATAATGTGTTGCCCAGCTGTGCCATCTCCCAAATCAGTGATTTTTAAAAAAATTATTTATTTATTTGTGTGTGTGTGTGTGTGGTATTGAAGATTGAACCCAGGGTGTTGTGTCACTGCTACATATCCAGCCCCTTTTTAATATTCTATTTTGAGGCAAGATCTCACAAACTTGCCAAGGGTGGCCTTGAACTTGTGATTTTCTGGCCTTAGCCTCTGAAGTCGCTGGGATTACCGAACACGCACCAGTACACCTGGCCCCAAAGTAATGACTTTGAAAGTGAATAAAAATAAGTGCAATTAGAGTTTTTTGGCCACCCCCCTCTCCCCCTAGTAACAATTTCTTCTTGTGCAAACATTCTGCCTCTGTGCTTTTAGCGGATCTAACCACAGGCCTGGGAAGAGAGCACAGGGGTAGAGCATGGAGATGCCTCCCATGAGGAGGAAGGGCTTTTCTTTCTCGTCCCAGCCTTTGCCCCACCGTGGTGGCTCCTGACCCTCTCAGTCCCCGGGTGGTGGGTGGGATCATCACTGAAGTTTTTCTTCCTTTTGCTCATCGGTGTATTTTTTCTTTTAAAGTTTTTCAAATGCCCATGTGGTATTTCTGCAGTCACTTATGTTTTCAATGGTGAAAGAAAACGAGGGAAGAGCACTTGGCTCTGTGCTGGGCAGGCTGCTGCTGAGAAGGCCTGAGAATGCCAGGCACAAAAGCATGTCCACTAGCTCCAGGGAAGTGGGGAGGGACGGACAGGGGTCACCCCTGTGGCCCGGGCAGCTCTGAACTGTGACCTCCAAACACAGAGGGAGTTGTTGGTGGTGGAGATACACTCCTGCCTCATGGACACCAGCCACGCTGGCTTTGGCCACTGTGCTGGGAAGGTCAGGAGGAGCAGCCCCACTTAGCACCCAGCAAAGGTGTGGAGCAGAGGGACAGTGAAGACTCCCTGTCCTGTCTTCTTCTCCACCCTTTGTGTGGCACTACCCAGTGCTTCTGGTAGAATGGAGCATGGATTTCCTACATCCCAGTGCCAAAGAAGTGGCCCATCCAGGGTGGGCGCGGGGAGACAGAAAGCTGGGTCCCGGGGTCAAGCTGGGGCTGGTGGTGGTGCTTGGGGTCTATACCTGAGGGTGCCTGGCATTTGGTGCTAGGAGGGGAGAAATACTGGAGGACAGATGGGGCCACTGGGTGCTCTGGAGGGGGACAGATGAGGGGCTGAATCACACGCCAGAATCCTAAAGAGGTGGCTCCAGATGTGGGAGGAGTGGATGCAGGTGGCTTGGGTGAACTCCAGGCCAACTCATGGGGACGTGGGTCTATGAGGCCAGCCAGGGTCCCCAACTTCACCTGCCGGATGTTTCCGCAGCCTACAAGGAGAAGATGAAGGAGCTCCCATTGGTGTCCCTGTTCTGCTCCTGCTTCCTGGCTGACCCTCTGAATAAGTCATCTTACAAATATGAAGGTCAGTGAGGACTCAGTTGGGGAAGAAAGGAGTAGAGGCTCCTCCTGTGCATGGGGGTGCAGTCCTTAGCCCCCTTTTCATGAAATTCTCCTTGCCGTGCACATGCTCCTACCCAGAGTGCCAGGGTCCAAGCTGCAGGGGTCCAGCCTGGGGCACTAGATGGCAGCTGGGCTCTGAATCAGGCCCCCCCTAGAGCACTCCCTCTTAGCTTCACCTTTGTTCATTTCTTGAACAAACAACGCCAAGGGGAACCAGGCAGAGAGTCCACCCTCGGGAACAAACCAGAAGGGAAGAGGGGACACGGGGTGGTTGAGGGGTCTCCTAGGGAAGGAGGAGATGTCCAAGGGTCTGGACGTGGGAAGAGGGCTTCCTGCCTGGGCTGTGTGGCTGCACTGCTCGGGGCCAGTGTCAGAGATGGTTCCCAGACACTGGAGGTCCAGGGTCTCCTGCTGGGTGTGGGGGACAGGTCACCTCCTATTTCCTGTTGAGAGGAAGGGGTGGGGTTGGCCTGGCAGTAGGAGACGGCGGGTTTGGATGACCTGGGATTGTCTTTTCTGTCTAGGCTGGTGTGGGAGACAGTGTAGGAGGAAAGGTCAAAGCCAGCGGAAAGACAGTGCTGACTGGACAGAAAGAAGAGAACAGGGTAGGAGGAGTCAGGGTCCACAGCCCAGCGGTCAGTGGGTAGCGGGACGAGGAGGGGCCTGGGGGGGCAGTGGGTAAAATGCACCACTGTCTGTCACCAGCAAGGACAATGGGCGCAAGAGCTAACCCTCGGAGGAGGCTGGTGGTAGAGGCAGAAGCCAAGGCAGCTGCTGTTGCTGTGGCTGGTGTCAGACATCACATGTCCCCAGGGCCCTACTTGAGGAGCCTGGGGCCTCACTGTGGCTATGGACCTTGGGCCCTATCAGCCCTCTGACCTTAGGTAGCAGTGCTCAGGACAGAACCAGGCCCCTGGCCGCTGGTTTGCCACGGGGACCCAGCTCTTCCGGTCCGTGTGCATGCTTCAGGGGGGCCCAGCCTTTCTTGAGCAGGTAAGCAGCCCTGGCTCTCATCCTGCAGCAGACACAGTGGACCTGAACTGGTGCGTCATCTCGGACATGGAAGTCATTGAACTGAACAAATGCACCTCGGGCCAGTCCTTCGAGGTCATCCTGAAGCCACCTTCCTTTGATGGGGTGCCCGAGTTCAATGCCTCCCTTCCCCGGCGGCGAGACCCATCACTGGAAGAGATCCAGAAGAAACTAGAAGCGGCCGAGGAACGAAGGAAGGTAAGTGCTCCCCTTTCTTTCTTTGCTCCATCTTAGCATGGGCAGGAGGGAGCTGGAGAAGACGGGTGGTGGCCCTGAGCTGGGGTAAGGTCATATCTAGACAGGGCCTCCCGGGGACAGGGCAGAGGAAGAGGCTCCACTAAGGGAAAGAAAGAAGTGAGGGCTCCCGTCCTGCAGGAGCTCACAGCTTGGTTAGGAGGACAACGCACTGTGCCACTTGTCTCCCAGAGGTGGCCTTATATGAGTGACAAGAGTAACACAGTAAAAAATGTTAGGGATTTAAGGTAAGAATTTCTTCACTGGGAGGGAGGGGACAAGGCCATGGTACCTTTCCTCAGTAGGCCTTCTGGGTTCCCTATTGATGCTCATGGCTCAACTCTGATGCCATCTTGGTATAAGCTCTTCTTCATCCTTCAGCAGAAAACAATCCTTTCCTCTTTGGAACTCCTGGGGCACTTCCTCTCCACTCTTAAAGGCTCTTCTCACATGTTAGTCTGAGTTTTATGTATGTATTTTTTAAGTGTTTAATTTGTTCTAATTAGTTGTCCATGACAGTAGTATGTACTTTGATACATCATATATAATGGAGTATAATTTCTCATGTACATGATGTAGACTCACACTGGTCATATAGTTATATATGTACGTAGGGTAATAATGTCTGATTCATTCTATTTTCTTTCTTATCCCCATACCCCCTCCTCTCTCTTCATTCCCCTATACATAATCTAAAATAACTCTATTCTTTCTTAACCCCCTCATTGTGAATTAGCATCTGCATATCAGAGAAAACATTCGGCTTTTGATTTTTTGGGGATTGGCTTATTTCGCTTAGCACTTATTTCGCTTATTCTCCAGCTCCACCCATTCACCTGCAAATGCCATAATTTCATTTTTCTTTAAGGCTGAGTGATATTCCATTGTATATATACACCATATTTTTTTAACCCATTATCTGTTGAAGGGTACCTAGGTGGTATTTCTTATTTCTAATAGACCTTTTCTTTCTTTCCTAGTGTGCTAGAATAATACCTGGAACTTAGTATGAGATCATCTAGTGTTTGTGAATTAATTAATTCATATGATGGTGGTGATGGTCCTGAGGATATTTAGAACAAAGCTGAGAAACATCAAGGGCTGTGGGAAGCTCTGCAGGTGGTGGGAGGGTGCGGGAAGGTCCCTGCTTCCTGCTCACAGGTGGGAAAGCAAGCTCAGTGAGGCAGGCATGTGTCCTGAGTGCTGAACTCTTAATCCAAGGCGGTAAAGTCTGGATTTTACCCTGAAGGGCCTTTCTCTCCCTTTGTGCTTCCTCAGTACCAGGAAGCTGAACTCCTGAAGCACCTAGCAGAGAAACGAGAGCATGAGCGAGAGGTGATCCAAAAAGCCATTGAGGAAAACAACAACTTCATCAAGATGGCGAAGGAAAAACTGGCCCAGAAGATGGAATCCAATAAGGAGAACCGGGAGGCCCACCTTGCCGCCATGTTGGAACGGCTGCAAGAGAAGGTAAATGGTCCTGGATTCCAAAGGAGGCTCCTGGGGTGCTCTGCCTTCCTTCCATGGCAAGTGTATTTGGACCTACATATGTTTCAGGAGGAAGCAGCCTCAGCAGGAATGGAAATAGTTCTGTTAGGCAGGATCCTTAGAGCTCCAATGGGATGCTTTGGAAAGTTACAGGCAAGAAACACAAACCAAGCTCTGGGTTTCCTCAGGGGATTTTCTGCAATAACACAACTAAAAATTCTCATTGTCTTAGGGACCTTGTATCCTTCATTAAATGGAGAAAGCTTGTTTAAGGCAAGGGAGTAGGGACAGACACATGGCTGTGCATTCCGGGCTTCATCCTTGAATGAACTGATCTAATGAAAGTTGCTGACTCTGAAGTCCAAGGTAGGACAAGCTGAGTCGCCCATTGAGCAGGAAACAATTCTCTCCAGACCTTTCGATGTGGACCAAGTGAGTCTCAGGTTCTTTCCACGAGGATGCTATTTGTCCATAAACCAAACGGTGTCACCTGAATATGAGAAATGTGAGAGACTGGGGTTGGTCCCCCGTGTCAGCAGGATAACAGCCCGTGCTGCGCTGGAGAACATGCTGGCCTCATTTCCTGAGTCTCAAGGCCGCCCCAGTTTCTCCTGCAGCTCCTGGGAAGCTCCAGCTCTGTGTTTTATTTCCAGGAGCCGCCTGCTGCCCGGTGACTCCCGGGACCCGATCGGTGGCCTCGTCCCATGGTGAGCAGCGTGGTCCCCACTCCTTCCCGCCCATCCACCTAGAAACTGTACTGGAAAGATCTGGTTTCTTCTCCAGGGATCTGTACGTTGTGCAGGCCCTGGCTCTGGTCAGCACGTGCCAGCCCCTCACTCTGATGCTCTCCTATGAGGGGCAGCAAGTACCCTGTGGGCGGGAAGCAATCTGGGTCTGATTTCAGGCTTCCCCAATTAATAAGGGGTGACTCGAGACAAACTCTGGAAGAAAAAATAAAAATCTGCAGTCAGAATAGGAGGGGGCATGGGCTCAGAGGCCAAGTCCAAAACAAATAATTGAGGCTGGTCCCGTGATAGAGATTTTGAAAGACTGTTTGCAAACACTTCTGTCTCATTATACTACTGTCCTCCCAAGTCCACGGTGGTAAGCAGAACAGGCATTATCCTTGAGGCAGATGAGCAAACCAGTCAGAGTCAGATGACTTGCGCTGGGTGACACAGCTAACACGGGTAGAGTTGGGACTAGAAGCCAGTGCTTCGGCTCTGGGTCCAGGTGGCTCTTTGCTTGCCTGTGTTAGGGAGAAGAGCCCACCATTGTGTCCCTAGGCTTTCGTCACTGAGAGGGCCTTTGGAGACAAGGAAAGGGAGGCTGGAAACCCAGGGCCCGGGAGCTCACCTGAGAAGCAATTGGAAAGGTTCATACTGGGGAACATGAGCTGTGGAGGTAAGGTAGACTCCAGGCAGCAAGGTGCCAGCACAGACATTTGAGAGGGCACCTTTCTCTGGGACCTTGATCCCACTCACCTTTTTTCACTGGAGGAGACAGCAGGTGGGGAGGGAAAACCTTCTGGACCAGTCTTTGGGTCACCAATGGTCTACACCGGAATTATTTGGTGCAAAGTTTAAAACTACACATACTTGGACCCTGCCACAGGCCTACTACCATGGCTTTCTAGGGTTGGTCTCTGGGGACCACAGAGGCTCCCAGGTGATCCTGCTGACACATGGCGGAGCTTGAGAACCACTGCTTGAGCTACACTGCTCTCTGCCTCCAACCCATGGGAAGTTCCATGGCCTCTCTAGGGACAGAGCTCTAGATTAAGGTCTAGCTTGGGAGCCTGGGCTGCCTCAATGGGTCCACTTCAGGTCAATTCTGCCATTTGAACGTGATTATACCAGGGACTGGAAAGGGGGTCATTTACCCAGCACCTGCCAAAGGCAGGACACAGCCCTGCAGGTGGACGCTGCCATCACAGAGCTCCGGAGGTGCCAGAGCCGCCCTCCAGGCCCCTCCCTGATCAGAGAACGTGGCCCACCTGGAGGAGTCGGCTGAGGCCACGCAGCCTGACATGCAGCTGGCCACGCAGCTGGTGGGCCGCAGAGGGCGGGGCCTGCCTTTGGGCTGGATTTCAAATGAAGGCTCTCTTACCCTAAGTGTAAGAAAGCCGGTGGAGAGGCGGAGGGGTGTGGGCAATAAGCACTAAGGGGATGGACCAGGAATTCAGGCAGGTGTCGCAGGCTGGTGACTTGCAGGTGGGGCTTGCTGTCCTGCGGGCTCCTCCCGCACAAGCTACCCCAGCGGCTCCTGTAGTAAGTCAAGCCAAGCCTCCAGTCCAGCTGTCACAGTAGCCAGAGGAGGGGGAAGAGGCTGGGGGCCCTGCGGGAGGCTGGGACCCACCAGTCCCTGGGCTCACTCACCTGCCGCCTTCTGCCCCTCCCAGGACGCCTCGGCTGACACTGCTCCGCTGTTCCTGATGGCCATCCTTGGCTGCCCTTCTCTCTCCCCTCTGCCTTCCTTTAGGCCCCGGGCAGCCTGTGTGACCTGCCCTGTCCCTCCCTTTCTTCCCAGGACAAGCACGCGGAGGAGGTGCGGAAAAACAAGGAGCTGAAGGAAGAGGCCTCCAGGTAAAGCCCAGAGGCCAACGAAGTTTCCAGGACAGCCGGACAGTCCGCAGCTCGCGGTCCAGCAGCCTCGCCCGCCGGCTGCTCTCCCAGCGCTGGGGTTTGGGGGGAGGGGGGTGGCCCAGGGGCGTTTCCTCTGCTTTTGGTGTTTGTACATGTAAAGAATTGACCAGTGAAGCCATCCTATTTGTTTCTGGGGAACAATGATGGGGTGGGAGAGGGGAGAGAAGGAGAGTTTGGAAAAGGAGAAGAAGTCACGGACATTGCGACACTACCCACTGCAGACTCAGCCGACCAAGGCCTCCGATTTTCACAGCTCTGCCTGGAAGAGCAGCCTCCAGGCACCGTGCTGAGGGAAGATGAGAACCCGGGGCAGTGGAAGTTCAGGGTGAATGATGGGCAGAGTCCTGAGGGGCTGTGGCTGCAGGGCCCACAGGATAAGAAGCCCAGCCAGAGCAGTGCAAGGCAGACATGCCGCTCTGCCTAGCAGCAGGAGGAATGAGGTGCGTGTGTGTGTGTGTGTGTGTGTTAACCATCATCTTTTGATCATCATGACCAATGAAACATTTACTACAAGTCTCCAGTTCTTTATTTCCTGAATTTGTTTTTTGGGTGACTGGTGGAATGTTCTAGAAATTTATCCGCCTCCCATCTGATAGCAGGTGTCTCTTAATTTTGCCATCCATGTATCTGAGGTGCTGGGAGAGGTTGGTTAAATTATGCTGGCCTTTGGCATAATTGAAAGGTTTGCTTTTGCCTTCTTTTAAACCCTCTCTGTGGGTTGTTCCTTACTGGATTGAGTGTAATGAATTGATAAGAAAAGAAACCCAATCTTCCTTTCTATGGACTGACATTCTAATATGGTCCCCAGGATTCAATGTAAGAAAGAAGTTGCCTTAATCTGTTAGGCTGCTTTAACAAAATACCTTAGTCTGGGTCCTTTATAAAGGAAAGAGATTTATTGCTCACACTTCTGGAGTCTGGGAGGTCCAAGATCATCTGGTCAAAGCTGCTCTCCGCTCAGTCCTCATATGGCAAAAGGGTAAAATGAGGGTGAAGCCCTCATGAGCTCATCACCTCCTGAAGGTCCTACCTCTTAATACTATTGCATGGGGGGTAGGTTTCGACATAGGAATTTGGGGGAAACCTCAACAGTCAGACCCTGGCAGAAGTCCTTCTCACCCTGGGAGCTTTGGGATTCTCAGTGAATCACAAAATGTGAGCAAGAAAATAAAGTGTTTGCTAGTGGAAGGCAGAAGGAGCCATTCAGTACCAGCAGTCATGTTCTCCAGGACCAGCACCAAGGCTGGAAACAGAAGCCCCTCTCATTCCTCCCCTGCAAACAGGAGCAGGAGGGCAGTCTGCCTGACCCCGGGCCCAGGGCATCGCTACACCCTGCCCTGCACACTGTGGAGTTTTGTACAGCTTTGCAAATAAACTCTTTGATATTGCCTTTTTTTTTTTTCCCACCAGTGGTTTTGCAATTTAGCCTTGTTTTAGGAAAGGATAACTGGAAGATCAACATTGGTAGTGGTGATGAAGAAGAAGGAGGAGGCGGCAGCTTATGCTTTGGACACTCTTACTAGATGCCTGGAAATTTTCTGAACTTAATATATTACCTCACCTAATTCTCACACCAGCTGGAGGAGAAACTTATTCTTATTATCCTATTGTGTAGGAAAAGAAATTGAGGTATAGAAAGCACCACTCTTGCCCAAATTCACAAAGATAGTTAAGTGGGAGAACAGGGACTTGAATTTGGCAGCTTGCTCCCAGGGTCTGTATTTTTAGCCACTTCACTGTGCTGCTTCTTTTTAAAAAACTTTTTATTGGTTCATTGTAATAATACAGAACGTTGTAATTCATTGTCATATTCATACATGCACACAATATAACACTATAATTTGGCCAACATCCTTACCCTTTCCCTCCCTATCTCCCCCCACCCTTCCTCTACTCTACTGGCCTCCTTCTATTTTCTGTGCTGCTTCTTGACACTTCCAAACTAGGCTGTGAGTCCTAGATGAGTGTTTCTGAAGCTGTGAGATATGACTCATTGGATTGTGAGCTCAACTTTATTGGCCCTACCCAATCTTCCTTCCTTCAGAATAGAACAGAAAACTAAACATTAAAGTGCATTCCAGGTAATAAGTACTTTTTTCCACAGAAATTGTGTTTCAATTTTAGATTTTGTGTATGTATTTCTAGCATGCTGCATAAAACATATATATATATATATATATATATATATATATATATATATATATATATATATATATTTAAATTGGGGGTGGCAATCAGACCCTTTTGAATGAGCATGGAGACAGGATGTCCACTAAGCCCCAGCATCTGACCCTGAAATTTCAAATTATGTGCTCTGCATGGGGCACCTTCAAAGCCCCATTGTTAGGAAACAAATCCTGCCTTGAAAGTGTTTACAAACGGGGCAGGAAGCTAAGTGGCAAGGCCATGGTTTTTAAATTTCCAATTTACATCAAAATCTCTCTGAGAGCTTGATAAAGTGCGAATTTCTTTGCCCTGGGAGTTTGTAAATGAAAATGATTGACTAGGCTTATTGAAATAGGGTCTTTTGAGGACCCCATCTGCCCTGGAACCTACAATTTTAGCAATCAATTTCCGTTTTTTTTTTTCCTTTTAAAAAATGGTTTAGTAAGAGTAAATCTTATTTTAAATTATTTCTGGTAATTGGCAGGATTTATACTAAGTTGGTATACTCGTTGACAGCTGTTACCTGTCCTGATCTGCCAGTGTCCCTGTGTTTGGCTGCGTACCGGGCCCTTCCAGCTGCACAGCCCCTTCCCTGGGATTCTCAGGGCCTCCCCACAGTCCAGGAGCTGAAGAGTTTTGGCACCCCAGGGGGCCTCTGAAGACTGTCACTTAAGCCTGACAGCTGCCATCTATTCTTATTGGTTGTTAAGTACAGTATTTATTTATTTTTAATTAACAGATAAAATTATATGATTCATCATGAGCAATGTGATGGTCATAGTTTGAACCGTTCTGAACAACAGAAAACTAAGCCACAGGCAATGCATCCAAGGGCAAGAGGATGACAGGTCTCTGTCAACTGGAGTGGGAGAAGCCTTCCTGGAGAAGAGGGAGCCTGGGAGCACAAGGACACTTCCAATAGGCAGAGCGGAAGAGGCCGGCTGGGGCGCAGTGGGTGCTGTGCTGAGCGCTGGGGCAGGAGCTGCCCCCCTAGAAGGGAACCCATCGTCAGTCAGGAAGAGTGTGTGCAGGAAGGGCACCTGGGGTCCTCATTATGATGCAGCAGGAGGAGGAACTGGGGCTGAGGAAGGGAGGACTGAAGCTGAGGTGTGTTTTAAATCCTGCTGCCCTAAATCAATGACCTTTGGTGGAGCTATAGCACTCCTGACAGGGGGCACGTTGGAAATGTGGCAGCAATTTTGGTTAGGACAGGAGAGGTTGCAGGTGGAGGCCTGGGATTCCACGTGAGCACCAGACAGTGTCTCAAGTCTCCCTTGACCTCCAAATGTAAATGAGAGACCTGTTCAGGATGATCCAAGCCCAGGACTTTCAGGATCTAGTTCAGTTCTGCATAAGAATAGGGTCCAACCCTCTTTGAACATACCCTGGCCTTTCTAGCTCTGCTAGTCCTGGGTTTTTCCCCTGATGGGGTCATGGCCTTGAATGTAGACTGAGGAGTGGGATAGCTGGGTTAAATGGTGGTTCCATTCCAAGTTTTCCAAGGAATCTCCACACTGCTTTCCAAATTGGTTGCTCCAATCTGCAGTCCCACCAGCAATGTATGAGTGTGCCTTTTCCCCACTTCCTTGCCAACACTTATTTTGTTTGTATTCTTTTTTTTTTTCAACTGCTCCCAGCTGTTGCTTCATAAAGGAGAAGGAATTTTAAACTAGGCAGTTGAAGAAACACTGTCATCTCAAACTAACCCATTTTATATCCTTTTTTGTAAATTTTCTGAACATGAAAATTTTGCTTTAAAACATTTTTTTAAATTTTATTGATTTTTTAAAAATAAATGACAGTGGAATGTATTACAATTCATATTACACATATAGAGCATGATTTTTTATATCTCTGGTTGTATACGAAGTGTATTCACACCAATTTGTGTCTTCATACATGTACTTTGGATAATGATGTCCATCGCATTCCACCGTCATTTCTAACCCCCTGCCCTCTCCCTTCTTCTCCCACCTCTCTCCCCTATCTAGAGTTCGTCTATTCCTCCCATGCTCTCCCTCCCTACTCCACTATGAGTCAGTCACCTTATATCAGAGAAAACATTCAGCATTTGTTTCTTTGGGATTAGCTATGTTGTTTGTATTCTTGATAACTGCCATTCTGACTGAGATGAAATGGATGGAGTTAGAGAATATCATGCTAAGTGAAGTAAGCCAATCCCCCCAAACCTGAATGTTCTCTCTGATAAGTGGGTGCTGATCCATAATGGAGGGGGGCTTGGGAAAAATGGAGGAGTTTTGATTGGGCAAAGGGTAGGAAAGTGAGGGAGAGGGGCAGGGAAGATGGTGGAATGAGATGGACATCATTACCCTAGGTACATGTATGAGTGCATATATGGTGCAATGCTACATCTTGTACAACCAGAGAAATGAAAAGTTGTGCTGTAATATTACAGCAGAATGCATTACAACTCATATTATACATATATAGCACAATGTTTCATATCTTTTGTTGTATACAAAGTATATTCACACCATTCATGTTTTCATACATGTATTTAGGGTAATGATGACCATAACATTCCACCATCTTTTTTACCCCCATTCCCCCTCTCTTTCCCTCCCACCTCTTTGCCCGTCTAGATTTCCTCTAATCATCCCATGCTCCCCTCCCAAACCCACCATGAAACAGCCTCATTATATCAGAGAAAACATTCAGCATTTTTTTATTTTAGGGGGGGATTGGCTAACTTCACTTAGCATTACATTCTCCAACTCCATCCATTTACCTGCAAATGTCATGATGTTATTCTCTTTTAATGCTGAGTAATATTCCATTGTGTATATATATATACCA